TCTAGTCCCGTACCCCTAGCTCTAGTCCCGTACCCCTAGCTCTAGTCCCGTACCCCTAGCTCTAGTCCCGTACCCCTAGCTCTAGTCCCGTACCCCTAGCTCTAGTCCCGTACCCCTAGCTCTAGTCCCGTACCCCTAGCTCTAGTCCCGTACCCCTAGCTCTAGTCCCGTACCCCTAGCTCTAGTCCCGTACCCCTAGCTCTAGTCCCGTACCCCTAGCTCTAGTCCCGTACCCCTAGCTCTAGTCCCGTACCCCTAGCTCTAGTCCCGTACCCCTAGCTCTAGTCCCGTACCCCTAGCTCTAGTCCCGTACCCCTAGCTCTAGTCCCGTACCCCTAGCTCTAGTCCCGTACCCCTAGCTCTAGTCCCGTACCCCTAGCTCTAGTCCCGTACCCCTAGCTCTAGTCCCGTACCCCTAGCTCTAGTCCCGTACCCCTAGCTCTAGTCCCGTACCCCTAGCTCTAGTCCCGTACCCCTAGCTCTAGTCCCGTACCCCTAGCTCTAGTCCCGTACCCCTAGCTCTAGTCCCGTACCCCTAGCTCTAGTCCCGTACCCCTAGCTCTAGTCCCGTACCCCTAGCTCTAGTCCCGTACCCCTAGCTCTAGTCCCGTACCCCTAGCTCTAGTCCCGTACCCCTAGCTCTAGTCCCGTACCCCTAGCTCTAGTCCCGTACCCCTAGCTCTAGTCCCGTACCCCTAGCTCTAGTCCCGTACCCCTAGCTCTAGTCCCGTACCCCTAGCTCTAGTCCCGTACCCCTAGCTCTAGTCCCGTACCCCTAGTCCCGTAACCCTACCCCATAACCGTAGCTCTAGTCCCGTAACACTAGTCCCATAACCCTAACCATACCTCTTAAGCTTAGCCCTTGTCCCTCTATCGTTAACTCCAGCACCCTAACCCCTTTACCCTCTGACCCTTTCACCATACCCGTAACCTTCTTGTCAGTGATTTCTGCTCCTTTGCTGTCTGATCAGCAGGTGGGGAGGTGACACCAATGTATGATTTCCCTCTAGCTGAGCAATTGGTGTCACCCTCCTGGCAGAGGAATCACAGGAATGGCCAGACAGAGTTACAAATCTTTCGTCAGGTAGACCGTTCACTGTGCGCAATTATCGGTGTGAGTCTTATATTGGTCTGCGTGGCCCCCGTGGCTCGTACATTGGTCTGCGTGGCCCGTGTGGGTCCTATATTGGTCTGCGTGGCCCTCGTGGCTCGTACATTGGTCTGTGCATTATGGGAATGTTGCTCTCTTGCAGGTCGGGGGAAATCCT